TACAGAGTTATTCTTAGCGTTGTAGCACACGATCGTGTGTATAAAATAAGACTACCAGTACAAAGACTAGTCTACAGAAACAGAACTACCCTTTGTCTTTTACAGTGTGAAATATGTGTTAAAAATAAATAAATAATAAAAATAAATAAATAAATAAATAATAATAATAATAATAATAATAATAATAATAATAATAATATAATAATAATAATAATAATAATAATAATAATAATAATAATAATAATAATAATAAAATAATAATATTAATAATAATAATATTAATAATAATATTAATAATGATAATAATAATAATGATAATAATGATCACGTTTTATATCCCCAGGGTTACTACCCTTTTCCAATATGCTGAGCGCCTAGCTAGAAGGCAGAAGGTCCCCTTGTTATAAGTCTTTGGTATGACTCGGCCAGGGTTCGAACCCATGACCTCGTTTTTATGAGGCGGGCGCTCTAACCACTGAGCCACCACGCATTTAGATATTACAGGCTACACACATTAAATCAATTTGAAATGCCTCTGCATATTATGGGGAAAATGTGTCTTGTGCATTATGCATATAAATAAAAGGGCGATCCCATGCAATGTGACCTTTATGCCGTATGACATTTGTCCATTCATCCACAGATGGAAAATCTCTTAAATATTAAAAACTACGAGTATATAGTAGTGGTACGAGAAAGCACCATTATGATGGGGGGGGGGGGAGAGAAATTACATTATTACATTTCCGGGTGAAATTATTACATTTGTGGGTAAAGTGTTATTACATTTATGGGTGTTATTACATTTGTGGGTAAAGTGTTATTACATTTGTGGGTGTTATTACATTTGTGGGTGTTATTACATTTGTGGGTAAAATGTTATTACGTTTGTGGGCGTTATTACATTTGTAGGGTAAAGTGTTATTACATTTGTGGGCGTTATTACATTTGTGGGCGTTATTACATTTGTGGGTTTATTACATTTGTGGCCGTTATTACATGTGTTGGCAATATGCAATAAGGGATAGAGCAACGTCGATCTGGCGCTGATTAATCAGTGGCTGCCGGGCTCACGATCAATTGGGGAAAAAATAATTTCCGCTTCGGTTTAATAAATATTGGAGTGGACTATTAGGCTATTATTATGATTAATATATTATTATTAACAGCAATAAGCTAAATAATATCAAGATTTTAGTCTAAATCAAATAATGCAAAACAAAGTAATTTATATATTTCCTTCAAAACATACACTTTGCAACTTTAATTTTATCCGAATCCTACTGAAAACTGCTCTTAAAGAAAGAATGGTCATTCGGAAAGTAAATTAGAGAAAGTTTGAACGAAATCTGAAAAAAGATATAAGAAACTTTAAAGTTTAAAAGTAGAAATCAAAATACGTATGGGCATTTCCAATCGGCTGAATTGGTCAAGTCAAATTTTGCCTTAAGCCATAATGCAAGGCCGTCCAGAGGATTTTTGTATGTTGGGGACCGGGGTAAAATGCAATAAATTATTGAAAATTTGTTGCATTTTCTGTTTTTTATTTTATTTATGGAAACTGCCCCCCTACCCTAGCCCCCGCTGCGTACAGTCATGATTTAGTGACAAAGCAATGGCCTCGTAACTGTGAGGCCCCACGATCAAAACCGTGTCGATGTGCTTTATAAGTGCCCTTTTGTGGGGCATTAATCCTTATTACTGTCATGTATGACTTAAGGGCGTAGGTCCCCTAGTTGATAAGTATAGTAGCATACACATGCTTTAGCAGTCACGCAAAACACACATTGTCAAATTAATATTTGATACAAATCTGAGAATGTAAACTATTATCTAGATCTAATATTTTTAAATTATTTTAAAAATAATTCCATAAATTGGGGTAAAACAAAAATATTCCAACTTTATTTGCGACAGTGTAGTTTGTCGGTCTGTCTGTACGATAAACTAAATGTTGCATCGTTGGATTACATCATGACTTCACTAGATATTTCAAATCTAGAAGTGGAAAATAAAAGAGTAAGGAAATATTGTTACCTTTACTTCAAAGAAATTTATGACCCTATCCCACTCCGGCTTAAAGTTGGTTAAATCTTCATATACAGTATATCCATATTATTCAGAGCAGTCGCTGGTGAAACGCGTGTCAAGTCCAAGCGTAAATGCATTTTTGAATGAAAGAAACGCGAGTCCTAAATAGATATACATCGCCTTTTTTCAGTTTAAAGAGACTGGATCGGCAGTTTCCATGTGTAGAGGGCCATAATTCGCTGACACCAGACTTGGCGGAAATACCATTAATGGGAGTACAAATCTGCACACAGCAAACCCGTTGGCCAGTCAAAAAGTACCCCCTAATCGCTCGGAGAGCTTCGGTGAGGGAAAAGCGAAGCATTACATAAGATCTAATGGTCATAAAACTGAAGGCTAACCCTGGTTATTGACAACACCTGTTATTGGGTAAACACCCGAACGGTGTGGAATTCCACATGAGAGCTAACTTCTATGTGACTTTAAGATCAATAATCAATGAAGAGCTCAAAAAGAACGTATGAGGGGGGTTATGCGCTTTTCCCCGACTTCAGCACGCTTTTGTCTCTCTGTGTAGCTTATCTTTAAGAGTGTTTTTTAGTTTTTTTTTGCTGATAATACTTGATGTAAAAAAATTAAGTTAATAAGATTTCACAATTTCTCTATTTCGTTAGATTACACCAGCAAGAATGGCATCAACTATTTGTAACATTGTAAACGGTGTGTCCTTGCCTTTCAGGAATTCGAATTTATATCTTCTTCTATTTTTTTTTGTTTTGTATTCTTCTTTCTAAGTTCATTTCATCTCATTTTCTTTCAGTCTTTAGTTTCACGAAACAGCGGGGCTCGGGGGGGGGGGGATCTCAACCCCCCACAATTAAAAGTATGTTAAAGAGAAAAAGAAATAAATATATCTTAGAAATATGTGGGAAAAGTAATGATACGGTACTCGCTTGTATCCTTTAAAAAAAAAATGTATTTTTCACCTCTGAAATGGGTCAACGTTAATTTTTCTAATCTTTAGCAAGTGTCTCATTTGGACCCTGCACGCCAATTTACGCTCTCCCTGATCGTAAATATTTTAGCCTTCCCTCCCCCCCCCCCTCCCCCCCCCCCCCGCCACCACCACACTTTGAAAATCGTTCCGTGTGACCTGACTACCACCGAGCAAACGTACCTCCCAAAAGGGGGGGGGGGATTTCTGGTAAACGTGAACATTAATGTTCGTTTAGGAGGATATAAAATCAATAAAATGATGCCTCCTGAAAAGAATGCTCTTCAAATGCTCTCATCATTTTGAATAGCCTTTTCTTCATTTCGTTTGTGTAGAAAAAGTTAGAGACAAAGTTAAGGTTAGTTAAATAGTGAGAAATAATTCGTCACCTTTGTTATCCTCAGTAATAAAATAAATTGTAATCGTATGTTATGACTTTCTGTTTGTTCATTACATTAAGGTATGAGTCAAAATCCAAGGGGCACTGGAACAATATTATTTATTTATTTATTAATATATTTATTTATTTATTTATTTATTCTAATTTTATTATAGGGGGTATAGTAAAAAAAGTCTTTCTCGTGTTCTTTCTTTTTTCTTTCAATTATTCTACCTTTCTTTCTCCTCCTTGTTCGATTTTTTACATTTTCTCAACTTGATTTCGATAGAGCCCGGGGACGGGGGGGGGGGGGGGGGGGAAGGGGCGTTACCGCCGTACCAACATCATTATCATCAATATTAATATTATCAACACGTTTATATTCCATCGAATGACGATTGCAAATGTAATCTATTTCTCTATCTCCCATCCCCGTGTGCTCCATCCCTCTCTCTCTATCTCTTTCTCTCTCTTTCTCTCTTTCTTTCTCTCTTTCTCTTTCTCTCTCTCCCTCATTCACTATTTCGGGTGCATATACCATCCCTCTCTCCGTCTATTTCTGTGTCTCTATGTATCTCTCTTTCTCTCTCTCTCTCTCTCTCACGTACTTCCCCCGTCTCTCGCACACACACGCACACACACACTCTCTCTCTCTCTATTTTCTCTCGATCTCCCTCTCTTTTCTATAGCCCTACATTATTCCTCTCTCTGTCTCTTTGTCTCTTTCGCACACAAACACGTACACACACACACTCTCTCTCTCTCATTTCTTTTCTCTCTTACACACAAACACACACACATACACTTTCTCTTTCTCTCTCTCTCTCTCTCTCTCTCTCTCCATCTCCCTCTCTCTCTCTCACACACACACACAGTCTCTGATGTTGTTGTTGTTGTTGTTTGGTATTATCGGCGTTTCATTTTGTTTTAGAATGTTTACGCCTTTCACTTTTTTCTATTTGTAAATTTGTACTTTTCTAATATCCTAGTTTTGTTATAATACAATCGCAGATCCACTAATCCATGAAAACCCTTCACCGCAATTAATTGGCACCTTCCTGTCTCTCCCTGTCTCTTTTTTTTCTCGACCGTAGTTGATCCCATTCGTATATTACATTATCATATTACATTATCATCACATTCAAATACTCATTTTCAAATGATTATTCGTCTATATGCCCCTGACGCCGAGGTACAACAACAAATTATTAACAAAACATAGATAAATTTGCGGTATCTGTTAATTAATTTTAATGGAAGTGAAATAAAAGCAACAAATGGAATGATAAAAGTCTATGTTTGACGTATATCGTAAGCAGAATCTGTTTTATACTGTTTAATAATGTCCTTTGGCAAGACATTGATCTACATTTGCCACACTACACCCAGGTGATGTAAATGGGTACCTGGTAGGAATTTATTCCTTGAAATGCTAGAGCGCCGTATGGCAGCCGTGCTAAAGCCAGTGTAATAATCGGGAGCGCCAGGAGGGTCAAATCTGACTGACATGAGCGCTATACAAGAACCCACTATTATTATTATTATTATTATTATTATCTCGGAAACCAAACGAAGTAAAAAAAAAGACAAAGTAAAGAAGAAGCAGAACGGAAGAAAAAGGAGAACAATGAGAAAAAGAAGATGTCTGTAGTCGATCTGGCTCGTGTAGTGGAGGTTCGGATAGACGACGAACCGGCTAAGCCATGGATCACTTCTTGCAGATATATCCGATTCTATTGTTGCAGCCCAAATCGTTCCATGATCCTGGCGGACCGTAATTACGCAAGTGACCGCAATCCTCCCCGCCTCGGGCGTCATCCGGCTGACCGGGGGCCCAGTTCTCGTAGTTGAGGCAAGAACCGTCAGACCAAACGAAGGGTTCGTTCGGTTGATGTAATCCGATCCAAGCAAAGGCAGACCAGCTCTGCAACATGTATCGACATTTTGTTGAGCTGATGTTAATAATTCTGCATCATTATGTTGGATTACTTACAGTCCATGTTAAATAAATTGGTTCCTTCTCAGTAAAGCAATCAAGGAAACAAACAGAAAAGAAATCAAGAAAATAAAACAAACGGAAACGGGAAACAAATCAATCAACCAAATAAACAAATTAACAAATAAAATGATCATATATGACTTTAGAATCGCCCTCTCTTCTCCCCCCCCCCCCCTCATAAAATAAAAAGATGGCAATTGATAACTTTTGACAGTTTTTATATATTTGTTGTACTCTAATGGTTTAAGTGTAAATACTCACCGTGGGCTTTTTACCGTCGTCGGTCAAAATGAGTGCGAAGGCGAATGCGTTCTCGGCTTCGTCATGTATCGAGACAAGGTCCGCCCCCAAGTCTTGGCATGCGTCATGAGCGGTTTGCCAGTTGACTTTTGGGGAGAAGAATCGATAGCAGTTCCTGCCAAATAGGCTCCAGCCATCTGAGCATTCGCACTGACACGTAGCTTCCGTGAGACCGAAGATGGCCAAGGCGGTTAAAGTCATCAATGTAAGGAGGAGCTTCATGTTGGCGCTAACTGGTAAAAAGATGGTGAACAAAATATTGCGATATATTTCAAATTAAGCCACAACTATTAACATACATTTATTTCAAAATATTTAAGGATAATTAAAACTGCTAACAAATATGATGTCAATATGCCTTTATAGACTCTTAGAAGTGGCATTGTTTTTGTCAGGGGAAATTAAAAACCATGCGGGTGTTTCCAGCAACGGGTGTTTTCAATCACCAGGATCAGCCTACAGTTTTATGACCAACAATAATGAAATTTAAAAAAAATGCTCCATCGATTAATACTTGAAAGAAAAAAACAAAATGAATTTATTTTTATTACAATTATATGAAGCTCGTTGAATTATATGTTGTTGTTGTTGTTTTTGGTGAATACAACATCATTCAAATTATCAGAATACAGAGCCGAATTAAAAGTTTAGCAGTTAGGTCCAGACATCTGCCAGACATGTTCCTCCGGCAGGTGACCTATATACCACCAGAAAGCCGAACATCTTCTAATTCTTCTCTATTAGAATATGTCATCGGCTAAGAATACAAAAATTGTCGACCTAAATTTGAAGCGCCTCGGAAGTTTGTCACCTCATTTTGGATATACTGTTTAGTGCCCGGATGTATTACCAGTGTACCGATAATTCCAATAGTTTTAGGATATAAAGAGTTATTTCTCATTTAATTGATATAATTATTTGAATTAGACGACAAATATGATAATATTCTAGTGAGAAGCATCTAAAGAGAATGGGCGATATTTGTCTCCCCTTTGACGACACTGTAAATGGTCGCTGAACTTGTGATCGCCAAATTTAAAGAGCGGACCTACCCAACTAGCACTGCATGCTTCAACTATGATAAAGACGACTTTTGTCGGTCAGCGCCCAAATTGGTAAGGAACATGTTTATTTAGTATATTTTCTGTCCCGAATTTGTATCATTGACAATGTACTCCCTTAAACAAAAACATAATTCCGTTTAAATTTATTTTATTTATAACTTAAAACAATTTAATGTGGGTAAATATTTTACTGTTGTCCCATATACCGATATATTTGTTATAAGGAAACTTACAAAACCAATGCCGGATTATTTCCCGTTTAAAGCTAGTTTCGTTGACAGAAATTGAATTTTACTATAAAAGACCCGTAAATAAATATCTGAATTATGTTGCTATTCATCAGAATATTTCTAACAACTGTTTAATTCAATGCTATTATTCATATGATGCCATTACTTGTTTCCTTCACCCAGTTGGAAGGTTCAATCTAGACCCGACATATCTAACTTTGAGGCTAAAAAGGTAGGGGCTGGGACTAGGATAAAGAGGAACAGAGAAAGATAAGTAGGAGAGGATATGCGGCTCGCCCCGCCCAGGCCCTTCCCCGTTCAATTAGATATGGGTGCATAATATGTAGGGCTATTTTTTCTAATAAAATTATTATGGGTGTTTCCATGTGGCTTCCACTGCCCCCTCCCCCAAGGTGGAAAGGGAGGGTAAGGGGTTTCAACACCTACTACCTCTCCCTTCACAAAAAAATGATGAAGAACAAAGATCAATTAAAATGAGAAATGAATAATATAACCAAAATATTTAACTTAAAGGTACTATGTCCCATTTGCAGGCCAAAAAAAAATGAAAAAGTTAAATTTCAACAGGATTTGAAAGATAATACTAATTAAGAACTTCCCTAAAAAAGGTGGGGCTTGAAAATGTCTTCAAGTGGGAAAATAACTACTATTAGTTGTCAAATCGACTCTATGGCTATAGAGCCCAAAAGTAATAGTCTTGATTTTCAGACAATTGTACCGAATGGTCATACGTTTTGTGCTGCGCAAAGATTCAATCGGTTTAATCTTGGCCATCACAAGAAGTGGGTTATTGATGTAGACAAATGCTCATGTACCCTTTACAACTCTTTTCATGTGTGTTATTACCAAAGAAGAAAAAATCCAGTCATTCACTCAATAGTGTCTGACAGTGAGGTATAGCAAGCAAACGGGTTTCCTTGCATAATTTGAATATGAGGACACTGCTAAAGTTTAAATTTCACATATAGGACATACATGACATATTCATAATTCCTGCAAAGTTCTACATAATTTGAGGTTGGCTGCATAAGGGACATAGTACCTTTAAAAGAATACAATAAACAAAGTAAATATCGCATAATTTGCTCAAAAAAATGTACACCTATATATTTTGGCCATCTAACGAATTAAAATTTAGGATGATGCCTCCCTCCCCATTTTGTAGTCGGTTCCATTCTTCTTACAATGTGATTTTACAACAGATCTAGATAGAGATATTTTTTAAACACAGCACACATTTTGCAATGGAAGTTTAGAGAAGCAATTTAAAGTTGTGTTTTATTTGTGTTTCTCATACAATATTGTTTTCTCATTTGTTTTTATTTAATTCTTTTCATGCTCATTTATTGCATTGTCACATCCATCTCATTCCATTGGTCTTATATACCTCCCCTGAGGATTCAGCTCCGTTCGACAGAGATTAGGCAGAATGACAAGTCATGAAAACCTTCCTGCGGAAACAAAGATCTTTCCGATCTATTTACTATTTTGATTAAGATAACAATGTAATGTTTATATTGCAAGAGGGCGCAATTAACCTTCCTGATAATACTTTAATGTACTGACTTAAGTACTGAGTTAAGGCATATGAAATCACCGTTTGTTGAGTTGTTATTCAAGACTCCCTCATTACAACTAACAACAAAAATATCACATTCATCATTTCTTTTATATCATACCTCGAGTTTGACGTTTTGGTAATGTACTGATCAATAGATGGAACATGTTTCAGATGACATTTGATGCCATGTTGCTATGAGTAGGATAACGGTTACTCTAATATCATACCAATGTTATATTAATATTATAATAAAATTGATTAGTATATAACGCAAGTATCGACCTTGCAAGGCGCTCCAACATTACCCGGCTATGCTAGGCTGCCGATTTCTACGCTATCATCATTTAAGGAATTTCTTTCTACCGGCACCCATTTAACACCTGGGTGGAGAGTGGCAAGTGTAGATTAGTGCCTCGCCAAAGGACATTAGTGCCGTGGCGGGACTAGAACCGCGGATCCTGTGAATCACAGTCCGACGACTTATCCACTACGCCACAACACCTCTACATGTTACTCTGACATGAAATCCATGCAACATCGGTAACTCCTCTATTGAGGTGAATATGGACCATACATCGTGCAGATTTTCTTTTATTTGTGTCATTATCTCATCAAATGTTTCATGCAGCAATTAATAAACACATTTCGTATAATGCAGCCAAGATGTTCTATGCTAGTGAAAAGATTACCCTCTAGAAGAAAGAAAAAAACATGGTCTGAAAATTGGAAGTTCCTCATATGTTTCATGTGTATAAATTGATATAGTTTTGCTGAATTCGAGTTTACTAAAAGCCCGCTGCACAAAAGGCGAATAACTGTCTGAAGAAATGCAGACCTACGCTCATCAACTGAATATACATTCATCTTTCCAAAATCCAGACTCTCAACTCCAGAAATATGCTAAACAGTGGCCGCTTCGAAGACTTGGAACAATATTCCCCTTTCCATCAGATAATTAAGCTGTTTTGCCACTTTCAAAAGTTTCATTTAAACATACTGTCTTCGTCCATCAGTAATAAAGTATGATTTACCTATTTATAAGTTTTGTTTCTCTTCACATTCTATGACTTTATTTGTAAGCGATAAGGTACGTAATGGAGTAGTGTCAATAACATTATAAAAACTGACACAGACGTCTCATGTGCAAACGGCATAACGTAAGGGCTGTTGTGCCTACCTGATATCGATGCGGTGTTCGAGCAGAATTCGGTGAGATGATGTATACCTTCTTGTAGCTTGATGTGACATGTGACGGAGTGTCTCTATCCAGCTAAGTGTTGACGTAGTGGCAGACCAGTTCAGTTTATTTATATTTGTATTATATTATTTTTTGCACGGCACCAACTTCAGCCAAAAGCTGTTCTTCTGTAGGTCCGTGCGCAATTGAAACAAATATATGTACAATTATAAGATAACACATATCATAACATACAAATATAAAAAAAAGCTTGATGGGAAGGAGTGTCTCCATCCAGCATATTTTATTTTTGCACGGCACCAACTTCAGCCAAAAGCTAGTCTTCTGTAGGTCCGTGCGCAATTTAAACAAATACATGTACAATTATAAGATAACACATATCATGACATACAAATATAAAATAATAAAAAAAAGCTTGATGGGAAGGAGTGTCTCCATCCAGTATATTTTATTTTTGCACGGCACCAAATTCAGCCAAAGGCTGATCTTCTGTAGGTCCGTGCGCAATTGATACAAATACATGTACAATTATATGATAACATATATCATAACATACAAATATAAAAAAGCTTGATGGGAAGGAGTGTCTCCATCCAGCATATTTTATTTTTGCACGACACCAACTTCAGTCAAAGGCTGATCTTCTATAGGTTCGTTCACAATAAAGAAAAATGCATGTAGGCCTACAATATTTTATTATAAGATAACACATGTCATAACATAAGAATAAAGGTAAAGACAATATGGTCATGCGATTGCATTGTGAAAGAAACGTTGTGGAATCGATCAGAAAAGGTTGATCATCTAGCATCTAGCATTTGCAAGGTTCTGGAATCATCAAAATGATAAGAAATTTGGCCCATTCTTAGTAAAGATACAAGCTCTATACACAGAAAGATTAATATGGGACTACCCTATATCTCTCACAGTCCATAAGAGAAACACATTTACCAAATATATGAATTAGTAGGCGGTTTCCCGGTAAACTTTTTATCATCATGTATTAGTCAAAACATATTCTTTCACATGATTGGTAATGAGAGCTTCCATTTCATTTTTTGAAATTGGGGCGTTTCCAATACTGGTCTTTACCTTTAAACTGCATGTAACGGAGCACCTCTATCCAGCTTTCTGTTAACGTACTGTCAGTTCAGTTCATTTCAGTTTATTTTATTTATTTTAGCACGGCACCAACTTTAGCCAAAGGTTGTTCTTCTGTAGGTCTGTGCGCAATATACAAAATGTTGTAAAATTCTAAGATAACACATACAAATATTGAAGAAAAAAAAACTTGACTTCACGGAGAGCGTCTATCCAGCTATTTGTTGACGTACTGTCAGTTCAGTTGAGTTCAGTTTATTTTAATTTTGCAAGGCACACACTTTCAGTGGCGGGGGGGGGGGGGGGCTCCACCCCTGGGGGAAAAAAAAACTTATACAAATTTAGATGTTGAACAATAGAACGCGGATGAAGAACAATATTTTCAGCATAATTATAGAAAAGCATAAATGATGCAAGTTAAAATAAATCATACATTGATATTATAAAAGCCCTCTCCTTTTATATGACTTAATGATTGACACGTACACTATTCACTTCATAGTTTTATTTTTCAAATTACAGCTAGTAGACTAACCTTGTCAAGTAGACCAATTAGGCCTAAAGTAAAGGAAACCAAAACTATAGGTTTTCATCTACACTATTGTTCTAGTCAGTGGCGGATCCAGGGGGCGGGGGGCCCGGGCCCCGACCCCTGCTGAAAAAAACGTGTAAAACCACGTTAATTTTACTTTTTTTGGAGATGGGCCCCCTTCCCCTGGCGCTCACAAAACAATTCTTGCTTACTACCCCCCCCCCCCCCCCCCCACTTAAGGAATTAATGGCCAGCGGTTTGGCCGCTAACTTTTTTCTCACGAATTTGGCCCCCCTTGCCGCCGGCTGGATCCGCCCCCTGCTGCCAGACACCCTTAAAGGTCGAGCCCCAATCCCCGAAATTGCCATAGATCAGCTGGAAAGGAAACCCTATCAAACCCATATAAGAAGATTTGTGGACTCGAGGTACATGAATGGACAATGCCAGACGCGTGTGTATTATGAAACGATTTAAGTGGTGGGGAATGCCTGCCAGACGCCACTAAATTACCACAATCCCAATAGTGAGCTAGATCAGCTGGAAAGGAAAACCCCAAAGGAACCTATATGAAAAGATTCGCCACAGTCCAATGATACACTAATGGCAGACGCCCTTTGATGCTAGAAAGTTTTATAGATTTTGGAAAGAAACCTTGCGGGAATATATATGTGAACAGCAAATTGTAAGGGTTTAACGTCCCTTTCCTGCCCTCCTTCCCGATATGAAGACGAAAAAGAAAGAAAAAGGTTAAGAGCTACCCTAGGATTTAACTTAAGTCTTGTGCTACTTTAAAAGTCCATGGCGATCTTTTTTTCAAACTCTACCTATCTTTACCATAGGCCTATGCGGTAATTATTGTTTTTGAGTTATTAAAATTCATAAAACAATGTCGAACCAAATGCTTGATTCAACACCCTTGTTTTTTAAATATGTTTTTAAAATTAACGAAAAAAACATCTGAGATCAAACGAAACAATATTAAAACATGTCTATATCATACATAGTTATGACCATTTATAAAATATAACAAATAATCTTCCAAACAATTTGTGCCTACTTGAGTGAATTGGATCGTATATGGTACATAATACGCATGAAATGATCAGTTGTAGCACATTTACTAACTTTAACCCGCAGAGTATGCATTCAATTCAATTCAATTCAATTTTATTTCGCAATATGAAAATCAAAATATACAAACTATCAGTAAATTTTAACTATGTTTACAAAGGTTAAATGCGGGGCTTTCCATGAAGGTTGCGAAAACCTGTGAAGTTGGATCGCCCATGCATATCTCAACTTGAGAAACTAGTTAACTGCCAGCGTCACAACAAAATAAGGTATCACAAAATGCTTATCTGACCGTAATTAAACGCCTAAAATCCCTGAGCTTCCTGGGGCTCTGCCCCCTGGACTCAACCAACGGCCCTAAGGCGGGCCCCCTGAAACTCATCTGACCGTAATTTAGTGCCTAAAACCCTTGAGCTTCTTGGGGCTCCGCCCGCTGGACCTCACGCCAATCAGTGTCCTGCCAGTGTCACAAATAAGGTATAAAAATATGTTCATCTGACCGTAATTAAACGCCTAAAACCCCTGAGCTTCCGGGGGATCTGCCCCCTGGACCCCGCCTAGGACCCTAAGGCGGACCTCTTGATTATAATATGACGGTAATTTAATGCCTAAAACCCCTTAAGCATCTGGGGGCTCCGCCCGGTGGACCTCACTTCAATCAGTGTCGAGCCAGTGTCACAAATAAGGTATAAAAAAAGTTCATCTGACCGTAATCGAATGCCTAATACCCCCGAGATTCCGGAGTTTATGCACCCTCGACCCCACCAGGGCCACTAAGGCGGGCCCCTGAATGCTTGTCTAGTCGTAATTTATTGCCTTAATCCCTTGAGTTTTCGGGAGCGGACAAGGTATCAAAATAAGTTCATCTGACCGCAGACGCGTAGCCATGGGGCGGTGGGGGGCACCCCCCCCCCCCCAAAAAAAAAAAACACCGGCCAAAAAAAAAACACCGGCCAAAAAAAAAAGAGGACGTAGGAAGAAAAAGGAGCAGACAAAAAACATTTTTGAAATTCAGACAAGGATTTAGAGTCGATAACGGTACAACGAATCGTCTTCTTTCTCTAATAATTTAATAAAACGTCAAAGCTTCCATGCTTCGCGCAGGAAGGGGGGGGGGGACTAAATTCAAACGAGGATTAATAGTCGAGAACGGTACAACAAATCGGTTTCTTTCTTTAATGATTGAATGAAACGTAAAAGCTTCGGCGCTTTGCGCGGGAGGGGGGGGGGTAAACTGAATTCAAACGAGGATTAAGAGTCGAGAACGGTACAACAAATCGGTAATCGGTTTCTTTCTCTAATGATTTAATGAAGGGTAAAAGCTTCGGCGCTTCGCGCCAGAGGGGGGGGGGGGGGAGGTAAATTGAATGCAGACAAGAATAATGAGGAGAAAAGTGTAATCTATTCCATTTTCCATTAGACCATTTTTCTTCAACATGTCTCAGCAACAATTTGTTTTTATTTTCTCAGCAAAATAAACCAGCATTTGAAATATAAACAGGGCCTCTATAGGTTTTTTTTAAACAAAACTTTAAAAAGTTACGCAAAACGTTGATTGAATATAAAGCTAAAATCTGACCGAACGTTGCCTGCTCCAGATATCGATTGGCACAATCATGGATTGTATGTACTAATTCCAATCATGTTTTCACTCCGATGGATTGGCTCCCACATAATGAAAATTGTGCACTTTTTGAGAAAAGCATGAAACTTTCTAGCATATTTAGTTTAGACCATAATATTTATTTTCAGATGTGGAGGGAAGTCAGATTTGACCTCTGATGACCCTGAAAGGTCAAATCCAAATTGGCCGTCAGTCCGCATGGTCTATTATGTACAAACACGCTTAACTTTTGAACCAAATAGTCAAGAAAAACGTTAAAAGGTGTCATTTCTAACTAAATTGGGGATGCCAATTCATTTGGTAATACTTTTGAGATCGCCAGAACTCAGGGTTTTGCATTGCCCTCAAGGTCAAGGTTAAAATTGACTAAAAAATAGCAAGTTTTTAATGGTCACAAACAAAATTCCCATTCATTTGTCATTTATTCTCCCCTTTGTTCTCAAATTTCTTAAGGAATGGTTCCCCTGTATAGTCCCCCACCTTAATCCCTTTCAGTTAGTTTATTTCACAATTTGATTTGACCTCTGATGACCCTGAGAGGTCAAATCCAAAATGGCCGCCAGTCCGCATAATCTAATGGTACAAACACGCTTAACTTATGAACCAAATAATCCAGAAAACGTTTAAGGTGTCATTTGCAAGTAACTTGGGGATGCAAATTCATTTGGAAATACGTTTGAGATCGCCAGAACTCAGGGTATTGCATTTAAGTTAAGGTCAAAATTGACTAAAAAATAGCAAATTTTGAA